GGGGGGGGGGGAGGTGGTAGCTTTGGAAACTTTTTGAGCAGACCTGAGCGCAACCTCACGAACAGCAAGACGTCGGTTTGGGTTGCCGTTTAGGCTGGAAAGGAGCAAGGGGACGGTCTTGATCTTCTGTAGGGTCGTACGGTAGGCTTTCGGCCTACCAATGCTGGCGTTGTACAAGAGGGAGCGTCGTGATGACTTGAGGTGTGTTGTGTTCGGGCGCGCTCGAAGTGCGTCCATGCGGACAGAACACATTTTTTTCTTGAGATGCGGAAAAAATGGTGGGGTGCCGAGACATGCACATGTGTCGCATGTCGGTACCGCTGCAATTTTGCCGGCGGCAGACAAACACAAGCACACAGACCAGACCCGTGTGTTGCGACCCGGCCGTACTGCCGTCGTGCGAATGGCGCCCCTTGAGCGTTTGATCATTATATTAACCAACTTGAGGTTCCCATCCGAAAGATTCATGGAGCTACATTGCACGCAACCCCCCTCATGATGACTTGCTTTCGCCTGAGCACGTCACGTAGTGCCCCCTCGAGTTATTTTGACCCGGGCTGCAAAGTCTTGGCTGTGGACTGCCTCGGGTGTGAGTCTTGTGTACAATCTGCAACAGCTCGGAATAGATTTCACGGCAAATCCTTCCAAACAACCACCGGGCTCGAGCACAAGATAGGATGCTCTTCTACGCGCTTTTGTCTGAGAATCACGTAAACGGTGGGGATTGCGTGTTACATATGATATTTGGTGTTTTTTGCTGCCGTTAAAGCTCCGGACAGAGACTCGTATACATGAAGAGTCCATGCGTAACTGGTCTACACACACGAATGCTTGATATAACTTTAAAGGTTTCAACATGGCGTATTGCCCCCCAACACAATACGACTCTTCTATGACGAAATTCCTGACTAAGTACACGTAGACACGTAGCCGAACCCGCTGTTCACCCCCGTCCCCTTGCCCTTGATCGATCGGTCGGTTCTTTTGCCGGTTCGGGATTGCCAAAGACCCGCCGCATCCTAAGCCCGGCGCGCAACGCGCAATGATCAACAGCAGCATGCCGAGGGGCACATTCAAATTCACATAGTGCGAACAGGATGGAAGCGAATGCTCAAGACCGGCTTGTATTCATTAAACTCGGTGGAAGCCTCATCTCCGACAAAACAAAGCCCGAAACCCTGCGTGGGGAGGTTCTGGATCGAATTGCAAGGTGTGGTCGACAACATGTCGTCCTCCGATAGCGGTCTAGGCTAGACTACAGTAGGAGAGTGTGGATACGTAGTTTCTACCTTTATACTGCGGCAGCAGCACATCAGGGCGCCGCAGAAAAGGACGTTGCATTCTCACACGACTTGAATCCCCTAGCAAACCAACTGGTTGGCCCACACTCTTAGTAGACCAGACATTTCATCAGGGTGCGGGAGGGGATGAATTGAACATGTTGTCTACCGCTGTCTTGATTTTTTTCGCAGGGTTTTTGACATGTGCAGATGTCGTCGACACATGTTGCCCATGTGCGACCCTTACGGGCAAAACCACCTTTCTACTCGTTACCCATGAAATGCCGAAGGGAGAGTCGCGGAATGAGCCTCCGCCTTTGAGTATGTGCGCACTTTCCCCTCCCTAATGATGATATGTTGCAAGCAAATCATGTGTCTTCCATAAGCGAAGGTTTCACGTTTTGACCACCGGCTCGACGCGGAGCCACCACCAGTTGCTATGTTCGTCTATGTAGGATAGCGTCAGAAACCCTACTTCCCCAACCTTGTCGTGGCCCTTGACGAACTCCACCCCACCGTTTGCATCCAACGAATGAGACCTGCAGAGAGATACGGGAGGCCATCTCCGAGTGGGATGACACCACCAGGGTTATCGTGGGGCACGGGAGCGGGTCATATGGGCACGTTGCCGCCGCTAAGCACAGCACCATCGACGGCGTATCGGGGGCCATCCAGTGGAGGGGCTTCTGTGACGTCAGTGATGCGGCGTCCCGCCTCAACAGGTACGCACACAGCGTATGGCCTGATGAGTCCTCGTCCTAGGAGAACTACCTATATAGACTATTCCGTTGCTTGATTACTTGTTGGTGCACTTACATACACATCCCTCTCACCTGTTCTCGAAACAAGCCAATACGCATCCCACGTATGTAGGGCTGCCTACACGTCGTCGTAGGCACTAGGTGCTCAATACCAGAAATTTTATAGGCGCAACGGCAGCAGCAATTTTAGCAAACGCGTCATCGTGAAAAATAGCAGCCCTATGTATCGTCACGTATTGCTTGCGGGAGCGCAGACTGGTAACCGCAGCATTGCTCAAGGCGGGGGTCCCGGCGATGAGCCTGCAGCCAGCAGCGTCCGCGGTTTGTCGGGGGGGCAGGCTGATTTCAATGGCGACGGCACCAATAAAGGTTTGGCACATACGTACTCATGTCTGTTTTAGCGTTCTGGGTGGAAGCGACTCTTTGCATGACGCGCTTTGGGCAAAAGCATCGCTCGCTCTTTGGGCGATCCCATTGTAGCTCTCATAGCAGCAGCAGCGGTAGGTTTTGATGAACTACATGATCGCAAACGGTCGCACATTGTGAGGTGCCTGAACATACCCATGCATCTTTCGTAAGATTCTGGGTCCGTCAGCCCGCCCTCTTGCCCCAACCAACGCGTGGAACCGAGGGGTGCTTTGAACTTGTATAACGTTGAAAGAAACCGCGAGAACACCCTTTGACCTGTTGAGATTCAAGGGACTCTGTTTTCCTGCTTGCGTCGTCAAGTATTAACTATGCCCGGTGGTATCATCTCGACTGACGCGATGCTTGCTTGAATCCTTCATGGCACACTTTCGACCTTCTGATTCAGGCTGCTTTGGAGGCCGCAATTGTGCCGGTTGTTCACGGCGACGTTGCGTTTGACCAAGAGCTCGGGGGCACCGTGGCATCGACAGAGGAGATCTTTGCTTTCCTCGCGCGGGAACTGAAGCCACGGTAAGCAGAGAGCGACGACACTGAAGCCACGACGACGAAGAGACAAAGGGACGGCAGTAGGGAGCAAGCAAGAGGGGAGGTTAGGGGTGAGGGGCGAAAGTACATGATTGGACCGAAAGCGGGAAAGAGCCAATATGGCAAGATGAGAGAGTAGGGAGAGAGAGAGAGAAAGAGAGGGAGAGAGAGAGAGAGAAAGAGAAAGAGAGACAGACAGACAAACAGACAGACAGACAGACAGACAGAAAGGCAGAAGAAGTTGCCCGAAACTTCGCAGGTAGTGGTGAGTATGCGTCGCACCGCTGCAGCTTGGACAATGTCTCCTGAGCCGAGCATTATTCTCCCTTTTGCTTCCCGTAAGACCTCCACTCAGAGTCCTATTTGCACCCACAACATCAGCACCCCCCAACCCCCGCCGAACACTCGGATTGGGAAGGCCGAGTATTCCGTATACCTTCCTGAAAAAACACGAAAAACAAGTGGCCACGGTCCAGTTGCCGTAGAGATCATGAGGATGGTGAAAAAGCCGGGAGGATGGAAGCAGAAACTGTGGAAGGGAGACAAGTTGGAGCTGCTGCTGTTTGGGATTCCAAGGGACATGGCGAGGATAGAGTTCAAGAACTGTTGTGACAGGGGGGGACTACACTGCCTAGCAAGGGGACAAGTAGGCAGAGAGCATGAACACTTCCGGGTGAAATTGACCGAGGGAGACAGCCAAGAGTGCTTGGGGGTTGACATCGAGAAGCTGTCGAACTACGTAAGGAAGTTTGGATTGAGGGTTTGCATCGCGAACATGGTAGAAACAGAGAAGGTGAGGAGACAAGAGGCGAGGGCGATGGAGGCGAAGAAAGGACCGAGCGGGGGAGGCGAGCAAGCAAGTCGGAAGAAGTCCGAAAAGAGCGGAACGCGAACGATAGAGTACCCAAAATCTCCAATAGGGAAAAGCACAAGCTCAGAGTCGGGTCGTGGAACGTGCGCGGGTTCGCAAGGCGTGAGCGCAAGCGGTTGGAAATAGTGGACCAAGTCGAACAAAGCGATCTAGATGTAGTGGGGATCCAAGAGACGTGGGAATTGAAGGATGGGGACGTGGTAAGCAAACTAGGGAAATGCCGGTGGGTAGGGAAGGCAAGCAAGCGCTTAGAGCCAAGGAAAAGGGGGGAGGAGGGAGTCGGATTCCTGGTCAAGGAACACTTGTTGGACGTGGTGGAAGTAGTGGTGAAAACGGAGTTCGAGGAAAGCCTATGGC